GTTGTTGCTGTTGTCAAGTGGGCCCCGACTCACAGCAGCCCCACGCACAACGGAACAAAGCTCTGCCCAGTCCTGCGCCACCCGCATGATCCTGCACCAACCCCATGACGGGTTGCAAATGAGACCATTGTGAACCATAGGGTTTTCGTTGGCTGGTTTTCAGAAGTAGATTGCCAGGACTTTGTTCCTAGTTGTAGTCTAGATTCGACTGAAACCTGTTCAGCATCCTATCAACAAGCCTCCACTGATAAATGGTGGTACTGGCCCTGTGTCTTGAGGGATGCCCTCAGGCAAATGCCCTGACCTCAGCTATCCTTAGAATCTCTGTTAGAGAATCCCCGCCCCCATGCTAGACGCTGGGGGGTGGGGCAGGATGGGATAGTGGCCAAACCAGAACAAAGCCAGAGAAGGTGGACCTGGCAGGGGTCCCATGTCCGGCCCAGCCTCCACTCAGGGAGCCAATGAGCGTGGGAGAGTTCTCTGCTCCCCCTCCATCCTCCCTGCATGTGAAGTCCTCCCACCTCCAGTAACTGGAACTTGTGTCCACAGGATGCTGTCCAGCCTAAACGAGTGGCTGTGGCAGGACAAATTCTGGCTGCCTCCCAACAACTCATGGGCAGACCTGGAGGACCGGGACGGCGTGGTCTACGCCCACCCTCGGGACCTGCTGGCGACCCTGCCCTTGGCCCTGGCCCTGGTGGCCGCACGCATGGCCTTTGAGAGGTGAGTGGTGCTCCCTGCTGCAGACGCATGACCCCATCACCTAAGTGCTGTTCCTGGCCCCCTCCTGCCTCATGTCCCACGCCCCTCTGCTGCTCTCTGATTGCTGGTTTGTGGGGACACTGGCTAGGTGGGGACCCTGGAGAGCAGAAGCCTGCCAACCTGCTAAACACATTAAAAAAGGAGGACTGACTCCCCAACAGGAAGGTTGGGCAATCTACTTGCATAGTGATACTGCCTCAGAAACCCAAGGAGGGGTTGCTATGAGTCGGAGTCGGTCCGACTGGCTGGCAGTGCATTGCGTTGTTATATTCACTATATTTTGTAATCACAAATGAGTGTGTGACCATTCAGTCTTGCAAAAGTGAACTCTATTTATCAGGATTTTTATATCAGAAACAATTTCATTAATATCTGGTACTATTATTAT